GTAATAATACCAAAGAGCAAATAAATTTTATATAACTGCCAACTTTTATTAAAATGTCTTTTCCCCTAATTTATCTTGTAGTTTCAATCCTTAAGATCCCTGATTTCACCTCAGTCTCTTTTCTCAGATAGTTGTTTAAATGTACATTCACTTTTCTTAAAGAATCACCACACATCTATAATTTGTTAAATCTTTCAACTCACCCAAATATAACTGCATTCCACTGCATGATGTTGTTTTCAGATGGTGCACCACTGACACCCACAGGTGGGTCCTCTTGCAATCTAGAAATTCAGAGTGGTAATTTAAAAAGTTGAACATTAAGGCCACTGAGGCCAAAAAGAACACTTATAGACTCTATACCATTTATTTTGCGACACAAACTAAACCCATTTCCCTGTTATTATGCTGATCTGGAATGAATCATGTGACTTAAATATACTGACCAGGTGATACACTTATTAAATACCTCTCCAAATTATCTGAAAGTCCAATTGTCTTGGGGAATCATCCCTCCTCGAATGTCATCGAGATTAAGAAATTATCTCTTCAAGAATTGATACATACAAACTGTCCTCTTGAACCAAAAAAGCTTAAAAAAATCAAAAGCAAAAAAATATTTTTACAGAACCATCGGTTTAGCTGCTGTAAACACGCAAAGACTCAGAGTCCTAACCACAGCTACCTGAAAAAGCAAACCTCAGTGTAAACACTAAACGACTGAAAACACTCACTTCAATTTAATTAGGAAGCTAGGTTTAGGCAGGAGATCTACTTTATTCCCTTTACAATGGATTTCAAAAGTATCCAGAAGCTTCAGTTAGGCCTTCCAGTAGTCCCTACTTTAAAGGTTCTGCACTAATATCAAATCTACCCCGTCACTCCAGAAGACTATGTACAAAGCTTCCAACATTCGTCACAGTCAAGTTCTTGTAACCTGAAGACCCTTGGAAAACTACCAAAGGTGCCATGCGTTCAACTCAGAAATAAGCAGAGAATCGCAAATAAAGAACCAGGGGAACAACGGACACGAACTGTTTTATTATTTGAATTTCAGTCATGGGAGCTAGTAAAAACTAATGATTTCAAACCACAGAAAGACAAGACTTTTCTTTCTTTAATTGATTATATAATTTTGGGGAATGACAAAAGACTTTTGCACCAAACACAGTAATTTTTTTCTTTTCTTTCCTTTTTTTTTTTGGCGGCTGGCCGGTATGGGGATCCGAAACCTTGACTTTGGTGATTTTTCAANCCACGATGAACAGAAGCCTTAAAGGAACTATACTGCTTGGCGCTTACCTTTAAACGGCTAGAAAAAACTACAAATGAATTAAGTTGGTGAAAGCCTAAAACAATGGCTTCCAAACGCTTCACAAAAGGCCTTATAAACGCGAAACTGATGTTACTTACTGAGCGGCAGATCTAAGTTTTTATCTCAGATATTTTATATCAGGGCAGGTCTTCCTAGAAAAAAATTTACGAAAAATGTGCAGAGTACCACAATGCTGTTTTCTCACTCTTTTGTGTGTGTGTGTGCGCCTCTCAAGTATTCAATAAAAGGCAAACAACTGAAAAAAAGTCGTTTGCTCCTTACACTCCCAACACCTTCTAACAAAACCTTATTTTACAAAAGGAGGCCTAGGGAGTATCAGATTAGCGCCAGTCTGAGGGAAGGCATTTTTCCAGACCTCAGAGGCTATAGATAGGGCTTTATTCACCAGCTAGAGCTGAGTTCCAGAAAGCACTGGCAGCCGGGGTGGGCAGATCTAAGGTCTCAGCTCTCTAAGCTAGTTCTCAAGGTCCTTCCAGGCGGGCGGGGCACAGTCGGGTTTCTGGGGATGGACTAACCACCCCGGACCTCGCGCCGTAGACCCCACCCTCACTGCTGAAAGGAAAGGAATTGTTGGGTGGGTTGGCTTTCCGCCCCAATCCTGACCCTTAAGGGAGACCGCGGGGCCGTGGAACAAAGCTGCCTGGCACAGCAGACATCTGG